ATTTTAATATATAGAATAAATATAAAATTAGCTTTTTTTTTCATTCTCTTTTATGGTAAAAAATTAGAGAAGAGAAGTTACTTTTAATTCAATATCTTTAATTGTGACATGCTCTTGAATTATTTGATTTTACTTATTGATCCCCTCTCCTTTCGTCGACTGGATTGTGAAATTTTTTCCGGAAATGATTTAATTTTGGCTTCTTCTTTGCACAAGAACACATTACATTTAAACTGTTTTGCCAGTAGTTCGTTGTTGGATACTTCCTCTTGCCGTTGACCTTCAAAGCAGGGAAGCCAGAACTTAGTTATGTGTTCTGAACTGGAAATAAAGGGAGTCGTCCCCTTGAGAATCGGTTACAGATAAATGAATTTCTTCACATCTGAGTTATAAAATAAAGGATGCTTTATGTTACAGGATTATATAATATGAAATTTTACTTAATGCATTAACTTATTTTCTTGCTGAACTTCAACTTTTCTAAATGATAAATTCATAAATTTTTTAAGAATTGACTTATTTTCGTATAATAACTCAGTTTTCTATAGAAAATAAGAATAATATTCCAATAATTATTTTTTTTTATAAGGAAAAACTATTTAATTCTTATGCGGTACTATTTTATATCTCAACTTTACAATCTTTAGAATGTATTTTTATATCCTACATAATGAAAACGTTAATGGATAAAATTTAATAATTTTTTTTATCTAGTTTTTGATAAATGTACGTTTAACTTCGGCTTTAGGCCATTAGAAATGGCCTTAAATTTTTATGTTATCATTTATAAATGTCGTATTGAGATTAATACCACACTTGGCATAATTCCATGCAATTTTAGACTAATGAGAATAATTAATTATTAGATTTTGCGTTTTATCTTGAGAAGAACAAGAGCAATATTTGGCAATTTTTCACGAGGAATATTTCAGTTTAAAATATAAATTGGAATGGATCCGAATGAATATTTAAGATATTTATAGATATATTATAAAGAGACTGGCTAATGAAAATAAGTTTTATTTAGTTTAAGATTTTATTATTCGATGAATGCATCGTATTAGACGTATTGGCATTAATATAGTTGTATACAGGACGGACTACTTTGCATATTTCGAGATCTGTATTTTAACTTGCGTACGTAAAATAGCATGAAAAAATAGCAACAAATTTTAATTACATTATGTAGTACAATTTCTCAAGTTTAACTAATATTTTTTAATCTTTCGTGTATAAAAATATTTAAATTTTTAATTTGTTTGGAATATGTCTTTACTGTAAAACTATGCCGTCCGTTATGAGTTGTTTTTCTAAAATAAATAAATAAATAATAGTTGATAATGTTGCCGGATATAGGAATTTTGCAACTTTGTATATCAAGCACTCGATTCTCAAACATCTAATAAATTATATATAAACAATCTACGCCCTCCTCAAAAAATGCAAGCTGACGATTTATTTTTGGGCCACCCAGCACTTGCCTCATTTACCTCTTGATATATATAAATGATCTAACGTATGAATGAACCGCGCATTCATCACTCAATGATAAATAAAATAATGAATAGAATGAAAAAAAAAATTCGTCTCCACAGTTTTTGAACATGATATATGGTCAATTATCATTTCAACAATATACAAAAGTTTTCATTATTAATAAAATAGTATAAAAAAATTGAGGAATTTGTCTTCATATACAATTATAGGCCCATTAGTTTCGTTTCTAATGATATGGAATGTTTAGTTGTTGGCTAAAAATTGAAGGGTGTTTTTAATGATTTGTATTAAAAAATGTAAAAGAAAAGTTGCTCTTTTAAAGTATTTTATTATTTTTTTTATTTTTAAATTTAATTTTAACCTTTTATAACGATAAGCGTAAAAAATGTAAGCACCAGCAACAAGCATCTTGTTTGCTTTCGTAAAAACAAGATAATTTATAATAGGAGCGTATCAAAAATTGGAACAATTTACGATAGGAACTTATTTAATCGTATCAAATTACGATTTAATAATTATAAACTTGATTTGAATTAAATAAAAAGTTTTGGATCTATATCAACATAAGAAAAATCAAATATAGCGTTATGTCAATATAACATTCAAACAAAAACTAAAGAAATAAAAATGGCTTGTCTATAAAGGATCCATTAAAAATTTCATTTATATCTATTCAAAAATTTATTATAAAATTCTATACAACATAAAAACCATAAGCGATTAATTGGTTCCAATCTAATACAACGAAACAAAGACCTATAAAATTTTAAGTAAGCTACTATAGAATAAAATTATGTTTTGGTAATTTTACATACTTGCATACCATATGTTATAGGAAAAACTATATAACAAAGCTATATATGACACACATTCTCTCTTAAACTGTGATCTTATATGTGTTCGTTCGTTTGATACTATTTAAGTTAAACCTATTATATGATATTATTTTATTTACCTAATTTGTAAACCACTAATAGGTGCCAGTTGTCCAAGGATCACAATTGGAAAATATACAGAACATTGACCTACGTTTAGCTGACAAACTGATCTTGCAAAAATACAATAAATAACACATTCAAAACAATAAGTTTATAAAGTATTATTTTGAAACGAATGCACTTTTAGATTATGTTCACATTTTGCAATATTTCATTTAGTTTTATGTAATTTTGTGTTTATTAATTTCCGTGATATTTCGTGTATTATTTATGAAATTATGTATTAAAATATAAGACGATCTTTTATTTTTTTAAAATAGATATTGAAATAATAAGTTTATCCAAAATGGTTTTGGTAATTAAAAATCTCCAATTTATTCGATGAATAATTAATTTTCTGAGACAAAAAACTTTCCAGTTAAAACATTAAAGAACTTTTTTTTTACCCTTTTCAATCTGAGAATCTAATATAAATTATTACATGAAAAATTATGTTAAATAACAAATTGAAATGATCTTCTGAAATAAAATATGATTTTATGATAATAAAATGGAAAATTCGTAAAAAATAAACCATATATTATACTAAGCAAAGATTCGCAGCATTTTTTAAGGGTGTATAAATATTGTTTAGTAGCATTTTAAAATGAAAAATAGCTTTGTTGCTCGACTTACAAATTAAGTAATGAACGGTTAAATCACTATTTGAGGATTTTTAATCATTTATCAATCTTTATCTTCATATTTTTAACATTTTCAATTCATTGCAGCCAGAAAATTTGAATATATTTGCGAATCATCATTGAATACTTTCAAACTGTCAGCTAATTCCATTAGACATGCAGGACAAATATTAATTAATTATTACTATTTCTTTAAATTGTAACTAAAATTAATATTCTGCTGTATAGGCTAATCATTAGAATTAGTTGATTCAATTTAAATTTAATTTAGTTTTAATACACCCAATAAATTTCGATATGATTGGTTTTACGAATCCAATTGATTTTTTATCTTAGAATATTTGAATATATAAAAAATTAAGGTTAATTAAAATTTTTGAATATTATTTATGAATATAAACCACTAATTAATGTCATTGGGAAGTAGCCCTTTATGGAAGTTTTCTTGAATTTCGTCCATTTTAGTACTCACATTTGTATCATAATTATGATAAATCAATTAGTTCAATAATAACAAGTTCATTATAATAAAAATAAACAGGATTCATTAAGCCAGTTTATTAAGTCATTTTATTAAATGCACGAATAAAGAAAGAATTTATCATATCTCGTTAAAAATCTGTATCCTATCAATAACTTTTTATCGATTTCTGTAATGTGTTAATACGAATTAAATCAATCTTCGTATACTGTCTCGAAAAGAATTTAATTTTGATCACCTTATCTTAACAGAACCAGTCTTATAAAATTCAAAAAATATATAATATATTTTAATTTGGAATTTTATATCTCGTGCGTCATCTTAAGAAAATTCATCATCACTAAATCTTATTTAGAATTTAATTATTAATTTCATATATTTATGATTGATATGGTTATTTTAAACGGATCAATATTTAAAAAAGAAATAATGAATCGAATTTATAACTTTACCAAAAATGGCTTAACAAAGCGGGGGGAGGAAAGTGATGGACTCGATATTCTTAATGACCTCACCTTGTAGAGTTTGGGTGGAGTTTCATACAGTGTATATTTTGATGTGAACTTGAAGTAGATGTAAATTAAGACGTTTAAAAATTGTAATATTAAATATTTTTCTTCTATATTGTAACATTCGAAAAAATAATAACCAAGCTATTATCAATAATTTATATATTTACAATCTATAGATTATATTTAATCTATCATTTATATTAATATTAGAACGTATACAGTACAACATTTGTGGCATTAATGCCATTGCCATAAACATTAATGTATTAGCATAATGCGTGACATGTAAACAATATTAAACTGTTTATTTTTGCATACATTTAAAATTAAAATATAAACCTTAAAAAATTGCAAAATTTTTAAAGATATTTATAATAAAAATAAAACATATAATGGAAAAATATAAATATTTTCAGTTATTTGTAGATATTGATACGATTTGCTTCGAAAGATATATAAACTATTATATTACTCAAATTATGTTAAATAAATATCGTTTATTAAAATAATAATTTATTATTTTTCATACATTAATGATTTATAATATTTTGATTAATACTTTAAAAATATCGTTTAAAATTTGGAACATTTGTATATGATTTGTATATGACATAAGTGAACAATACAAATGAAAACGATTTAGATTCATGTTAATAATAATAATAATAATTTTTAATATATATAATATGAATTTAAGATGTAAATATGTTTTCTCATAAAATCAGTTTTTTATATCTTTTAAATTAATTTTATAATTAATAATTTATAAAAGAATGTTTAAAAACTTTAAATTTAATTATTGCTTTTAGTAAAAATTAAAAATAGTTTAAGATTGCTATAAAATTGAGTTTTATTTATGTTATTTCTTAAATGCTGTTAATTTTTATAGAACGAAACAGCTTTTCAGAAGGCCTACGAATTTCTGCAATATTTTGGTGTAGGATTGGAGCAAATCCTTCTGGACCAAGTCCTTTACGATGGTCAATTTGCAAAATTATTTAGAGAAGTAGAAAACCATTTAACTCAAGTGTTATGCGAACTACAATTGGGTATGTATATGCTTAAAATCGAACCCAACCCAGACGTGATGAGAGACGTCATGTCACAAAATTACAGAGATCTGAACGACGTATCGAATAGGAACATGAGAGACTTTCTCATCCTAAGAGATTACATCGAAGCAACAGATTACGTCACAAAATTATTTATGTATTTAAAAAATAAAAACAGATCTTAAAACATCATCATCATCAACAACAACAACAACATCTGTGATGAATAATCTAATTTATTTATATTTATTTATTTTTTTAAACCGTCCATCTAGAAATCACATACCAAAGATAGCAATAAAAAGAATGTCGAATATTATTAACATCCTGTGCATTACAAAATAGTCTGATGTATTGGAACACGAATGAACAATGTGTTTATTTCATGGTTGTGTCAATGTTCGGAAGCTTCATGTTAATACATTTCCTGTACTATCATTAGAAGGTGTCCTAACTGCATTAAATTCTTTCAATTCGATCGTGCTTTAGTACATTAGTATACCCCACCTTTTCCCCTCGCCATTCTATTAAAAAAACAACACTCTATCCGCCATATTTGCTACCTCACTCCTTGTTTGTCTACGATGAACAAAGTTCCTACCGTGTGTATGTTTATTTGTTTATAATTTTTTTTTTAATTTATTGAACTAAAAGATACCCCATTGTTTCTTTACATTATTTTATATAGAATATATACCTTACCAATGCATTTAGTTTGTATATAGTTGTAATTTTACCAGCGCACACCGTGTAATAATATTTTTTTAAAAATTATGTACTTATTATATATACATATGTATTATTATTATATACATATAAAAAAAATCTTGTCTATTTGCCAAAACAATGTTGTAAATTTTTAAAAAGAATTCTGTTAAGAAAAAAAATTAGCTTTTTTTTTTTTTAAGTATGAAAAATTTAGCGTAATGTATAGTTATTGGCGAATGTTATAAAATGTTTTAAAAAATATATTGGATGCAATTATTACAAAAAATTATATATTGTACGCAAATTATATCAAGTTTATTATTATATACGCGTTTTTATTGTAAAATATGAATTCATTCCTGAATAAATAATAAAATGTGCTTTTATAAAAAGATTCGTTTTAAAAAGTTCAATTAATTTGGAAATCATTTTAAAAGTTTTTAACAATTATTTTTAAGTTATTTATCATTGGAATCATTAATTTTTATTTATTAATAAGAGATATCTATAAAAATACGTATTGAAATATATATTTATTATATAAATTACAGTCTAATGTATTAGTATGCACTAAAGAATATTAAAGTATACACTTTAATGTATTATTCATATTTATTCACTAATTCTTCATTAATAAATAAAAAGAATGATTTCAATGATATTTACATTAATAAATATTTCTCTTTATTTCAATTTTGTATAAGAATTCATTTTCTTTCATTTTTATTTCATTCTCCTTTCTTCAAAAATTAATTTTTTCCTTTATTTTATATAAAATTGTATATTTTTATACATATCTTTTCACTAATAAGACATTCCTACATTTTAATCTTTATTAATTATATCTTAAATTAAAAAAAAAATATTTTTAACTGTCACAAAATATATATAACAAAGAGGGTAATTATGAGAATTATTCTATAAAAAATTTTAAAAAATATATATATTATACATGCAATGTCATCAATTAAAGCAAAGATAAACTTTTGCACGAAAGAAGACGTTATCGATCTATATCACCCCTTTATACACCTGTTTTTTTAGAAGATTCTTCATAGAATATATTTTAAAAAAATACAGCAATTAATATGTATTAAATTCCTAATGTCTCATAGATAAGAGTTAATAGGCTTCTTAGATAAACTTAAAAATATAATATTTTGGGTCAAGATACCACGCAGCTGTGCTGATAGAATGCCACAATGAGATAATCTATTTATGTCAAAATAATTTAAATATTTTAAATAAATACAAGAAAATAGTTTTATTAATAAAATTTTAAATTCAAATGTATAAATTAAAAATAAATAAAAAAAAAAACGTAAATAATGGTATACAAAAGATATAAAAACGCTTCAAATATATAATCAAACGACTGTGTCGCCATCTCATTTCGTTAAAGAGAAATAATTTCAAAATTTGTTTTTTGAAATAAATAAATATATAAAACAAAATGTATATTGAAATAAATACACTTTAAATGATGCGATATTTATCGCTTGATATTAAATTATTACAACCAATTTTCTGTTAAGTAAACATTAAATTGCGCTAAAAAATTTAATGTGCTTTTAACAATTTGACACACTTTTATTTGTTTTAACGATGTTGAATTAGGCAATTCAAAATGCAAATTAAGAATCGGATATGTTAATTCATCGAAATTTAAACGAATGTTAAACGATGTCGCTAAATGGAACAAACAGGTTACATCCAGGATTAATGCAGAAATTCTGCTTAAAAAGTTAATTAAAGACGTTTCATTATCATTTTTCGAGTCGTATGGATAATTTAAGTATAAAAGTTCTTCATAGCTTTGATTCAAATAATATATATTTGATGCATAAGCTAAAAATGATATGTATTGTAATGCCAAAGATGGGCTTGATAAATTTTGTATGAGATCAGAATAGGAATGCTGTAAATATAAAGAATTTTTTTAAAAGAACATAGCCAAATATACATTATCAAATGTGCTTTAGTAAAATTATGAAATAAATTTTTACTTACATTAAAGTTTTGGACAAAATTTATTAATACTATGTTCAAAGAAGAGCAGGCATCTAAAATATTCTGGGGAAAATAAATTAAAATTAATTGAAGTATAAATTAATTTTAATGGGTAGTTAAAAAT